TGTTTTACTGTAAAAAACATTATATATCTCTCGATGAGTTAAGAAGTATATATGAAATAGTTCATAACTATTAATAAATATTAAAAAGTTACATAACCAAAAATAAAAAAAGAATTTATCTATAGCATTTGCTATTGATAAGAATAAATCCTAAAACCAACACAATTTGAAATGTCAGATTTTCGCGTCAAAAACATTTCCATTTAAAAAGTAATAACTTTTATATCGATTTAAGGGTATATGTATTAGAAAATCAAGGAATTAGTTAACTTACGGTAAAAAGTACGACAATACTATACACTGTTAGACAAAGCTCTTAAAACATCACACATCAGAATAGTTTAACGTGAACATTACAGTTATAGTGACATTATTTCCGTATTTATGAGATAATGTGACTTGTTTACAACAATTACTATCAATACACATGGTACTGTGTACAGTTTGAGTTATCTATGAGAATAAAAATATACTCGATATGACAATTAATATAACAGTATTTTACAGTGACAATAACAACACAAACATTCGATGGTAACATGGCACAATTCAATTTTTTTCAATTGAATGCAAATAATAAGTATATATATGCAATAAATATTACTACGCCTTATCATATCCATTTATAATCTTAGAGCATCCCACTTTGCTACACAGCAGGATATTAAACACACATTTGTCACCGTATATTTATTTATTCATTCAACTGGATGAGATCCAGTATAGACGAAGCTATATTATCCCATTTTGTTCTAAGAATGTATTCTCCGTTTTCGAATGTCCATAATATTCTAGTCTTCCTACGATATATTTGTCTCATGACATCCGGCATGTTTTGCTCATCAACAGACTCTTTGAACATCAGAAGCATTGGCTTCCCTGATTCAAATGCCAAATTGAATTCATTACAACAGTATGAACTGTTGCAAAAATTGTTTGACACTACTATAACAATAGTTGATACCCTTTCAAAGCATAAGCTTGTCTCACTAAGGACATAGAACCCGGGCCTTAAATGTTTATCACCAGTGCTGACCAGTAATCTTTCAATGCCAGTATTAAGCTTAAGATGATCATTAAGCTGACGTAGAACATTTTCAGTCACGAAATCCGCATCAGCGCTACTATATGAGAGGAATGCTGCAAACTGATAATGGTTTTCGCCATTTTCCAACAATTGAACAATTCTTTTCCTCCTTCTTAATCTCATTGTTCTCTTCTTATTTCTGATTACCAACAAAACGATACATGTGACCGCTGCTAAAGCAACTACACCAGATACGCTGGACACCGCAATTTTAGTGGGTCTGTTACATATATCCTGTACTTGTTGTAAAGTATTGTCATTAATTTGTGACTGATGTCCATTCTCTGTCACACATGTTAACTTTTCAGGATAAACTTTCACTTGCCTAGAAGTTATTAGCCAGTAAATAAACGCTTTAGCTTCACATTTGGAACACGAAATGGGATTGTTAGTTATAATAATTGATACATTTGTACTGTTTGGTCGTGGAATAGCGTTCAAATGACCAAGCGATTCTTGACTAAGTATATGAATGTTGTTCATTCGCAGATCTAAGAGTTCAAGATGCGTTAGATGGTTTAATGCGAAAGTCACCTGATCCAGTTTGTTTTTGGTTAAATCAATTGTTTGTAAAGCAAAATTGTTGCTAAACAAATTGAGCGGAATCGTAGATAAACCATTTTCCGACAAACTGATAAATTGTAGCCGTGAATATGAATTTAGCAACTTTTCGAATGCCGAGATATTATTTTTCACCATTTTAGAAAGCTGATTTGAAGAAAGTGTTAATATTTTTAGCTTCGGCATAAAGGTTTGTCCGCTTGGAGCACTGACAAATTGCAGGCCATTATTTGAAACGTCCAATTCTTCAAGAAAAGGCATTGCGCAAGGTCTTTTACAGACAAGTTTTATATCAAAATACCTTATATAATTATTTCTAAATATGAAACGCCGAATGAGTACTTTTATAGGCAAACTTATAACAATTGTACAATTTTTAATCCAAATGTCGACCGGCTCGGAAAAAATAGAAGAAACATTGACGGTACTAGCTTGAGAGAAAATTATTTTCTCTGAACGAAATGTAGTTGTGTTAAAAATCACATTAGATAAAACTAACTTCCCTACTGGTCTAAATTGGTGTGGTAATATTGCATGACTCAGGTCAAAATTAATATCTTTAAAGAAAGAAGTGTTAAATTTATTTAGAATTATTTTACCAATTGTTGCATGAGAGATATTTAAATATCTAAGGTATTTAAAGTATCTAAAAACATCAAGATATATCTCTTCGATGCCTGTATTGCTCATATCCAAATGAGTTATTTGTTGTTGCTGTAGTATTTTACCAAAACTTTCATTAATGATAATTGGTGTATGGTAATAATTCAATTTTGACATTGTTAGTCTACGAAGCCCTTTCAACTTATCGGTTCCATTTAATGTTTGTAATAAATCATTCAAACCTAGTCTGTAACAATCCTCTACGTTCAAAGTTTCGACAGAATTCAGCCCAACAAATACATCGGAATTAAAGTCAACACGTTCCAAATTTATCCTTAATTCTATAAGCATTTTCATACTGGTGAAGGCTTCGGCAGTAAAGTGTACTTCTGCTGTTTTAAAGTAACCGATTTCCAAATATTTAACGTGCATCCAACCCTTTTCCATGAAATAAGAGCTATTTATCTCAATAAAGTCTACAGGCTCTACTAAATCCACAACTTTCACTCTTGAAATCTCCTCCGTAATGTTGCTTGGGAAATAATTGCAGGTTAACGTGTGTGTTTCCTCAACCACACAGTTTCGTTCTGTTGTTGCTGTTCCAATTAAAGTCAATAGTCCTAACAAGGAGTAGAAATTCGACATTTTGCTGACAAAATTGACAACGGTTCTATGATAAAGTATTTTGTAACTGTTAAAGCTTTTCAATTATAGAGCGATCACATTTGTTTTAAACTCCATGAAGTAATGTTTTGTCTCCGTTTATACGTTTGTTACATCCTTGAAATCCTATACGAAATGTGAAGAAAAATAATCTGCATGACATGTAAAAAAAGTTCCATAATACTAGTAATTATCTATGGTCACACTTTATTTTTCTTTCTTAGTTTGTAAACCAATGAATATGTTTTAGAACAATTATTTTCATAATGTATAAAACGGTTTTGTTTATATACCTTACACCTAAAGCAATTCTTCTAATTGTTGATTATGTGCAATTCTTTTATTTTATTTTCTCATATATCAAAGCGATCTTTTGGACTGACCCAAACCTACAGATACGGGACAATATCGTGTTGTCAAAATGGTAGAATTTCAAATATCATTTATATTCGCCGGCCTTAAACACAAGTGCATTAAATCAAATCAAATTTCGATATAGCTAAATGTATTTAGGATTTTTCATCAATTTGATGTATAAATTATATAAACAAATGAAAGCCAACATTTCAATATTTACATAAAAATAGTAAAAATAGTAGCAAAATCAAACAAAAACCTTAAAAGACACTATGATATAATTTTCAGTCAATGATATAATAAATATAATACATTACCAATTGCAAAGTGCATTTAAAATCCGTCTGAGTTGAAGTTTTGAGAGTTATGATTTGATGATTTTATTTTATTTGTATTTAAACATGTTCTGCGTATTAAAGATAACAGCTGTACTAAATTATATTGTAATATATACTTTAACATAAAAATAACAAATGTCTAGCGCGTATTAGTAACCCGAGAATTGAAATTATATCTAAGATGGATGTAGGTCTGGGACTATTTTAATCATCTTCAGTATTTTGCGAAGGGAGATAATGTTGGGAGTTATTCTCTCTATTTATCACCTCACGTTATATTTATTTACTGACAAAATTACATGTATTGTTTTAAATGCTTATATTTCTAAATGGTAAGTTAAAATTAACTTAAGATTTATCTGTTTTGAATCACGCAAGGTACATTGTATTCTTTAAAAAAATATACACAATCAGATCATCATTTGCTCATGTGTCTGAATCATAGAAAGTTAATTGTTTTTCATACATTCATGACCATTTTCATAGAAACCAATGAAATTTTGTTAATCTGTAGCTTCTAAAATGGTTTAAGTCCAGTTAAAAATTTTCATTACTATCCAGCATTATTTGTCATCCAATGAAAACGCTTATAACTAAAACTTTCTGTAGAACAGCGCGGATGAACACTAACATATACATACATATAGCATGTGTCATAAATGATGATTTTAATTCAGCTTAACTAGATATGGAAAAAAGCTTTGTCTTGAATAATTTCAAGTTTCAAAGTGGTATAAACGGAATTGTTTACTTTATTTTATACCAGGCAGTCCGACGTCCGACTTTATTTTCTCATTGGAAAGGACCACGTATCAGACCATCCGGAATAAAAGTTTGAATAAGAAACATCTCAGGTTTATTTATACTGCTATTATCATGGAACCTTCAATGTGACACGTTAGTACCGTTCCATGATTAGCGGAGTAGGATCCCCAAGTAATAAACTGCGTGTGCCATAAACAATGGGCAATAATGAAAATTAATAATTAAAAAATGAAATTTAAATGTTTGAGATACAAATGTATGTGTATTTCAAGGTTAAGTTAAGCAAATAATAAAATAAGAGTTTTCTTTTTTTTACAAAATGGTTTAGCAGGCTTCACGTTTGTACTAGAGCTACTTTTCATTGGTGCAATTCAAATTTTCAACTGCATCCATATTATTTAAGCTTAAGTGATATCAGAAAAAACATATATGTTGTCTAAATATAGAACGTAAAATGTGCTCCTTTAAAGAAAAGCATTTGTATTTATTGTAATGCACTAGCAGGTAAATTTTATTTTGTTTAAGAGAGTGCGATGTATCATCTTATACAAGAGAAGTCTCATTTCATTATTATGAGAGACATCCAGATATGTTAGAAAAACAGAGCTTCTTAGAAGAAATAAGAAAATGAGTATTATCAATAAATCATTTCAAATAAGAGTCAACATACTTTTAGCATGCAGTGCTGACATATTAAAAGCATTTCTTTATATTGTATTTTTGAAAATCAATGACTTTTATTATTTTAACTCTATGAAATGTTATTTATCTGTCTATAGATATGTGACGATTTTCCTTTTGCTATTAGAAGTACACACTCGTTGTGTTTCAATTTTGCAACAAGACTTCAATTTTGCTTCTCTTCATCTTTATAAACAGAGATTATACTGTTTGGTAGTGTTTTATTTTTATAGATTAGGCAACTATCCTTGACATTGTCGGATTACAAGATGATAAGAGGTAACTATGATTTACTTAAAATATTAAACGTCCTTATTGCATGAAGTGTTTAATCACGTACGTAGAGTTTTCCAAAATATGCTTAATTATACTGCAATCAAGCAGTTTGCGATGCTTCCGTCGTAAATACTGTATAATCACATTATAAATAGCTTTAAATGTCCTAAGAAATCTTCTGAGTAACAGGGTACTCTATCAGAATTATGACCGAGTACTCGAATACTAAAATTGGTATTAATTTTCATCTATTATACATGTAGATAAAAAAAGAACTGTACGTATTCTTTTTACATAAATACACATGGCAAACATCACACTAGCATGGAACCAAAATGAATAATAGCAGTTCATTCTGCCATAAAATTGATTGACGCAATACAACACTATAATGTCTTCTCAATGTTAACATCTCTAGAAGATTTTCATGGATACATTTGACATGTCAGTAGTTCAAAAATAGGTCGTAATATCTTTCATAAAATGTTTTACATTGTTCAACAGTTGAAATGGTTATAAAATTACACTTTTTTTGCTAATGATTTGAAATAATTTAATACAATTATCCAAAGACAATATGTATTACGGAATAATATTTTATTAACATATGTTTTGAAATATTTAAAAATATATATTGGTACCGGTAATTCATAGATTGTAAGATATTTTCTCTTTAGTTTGTTTACATTAAAAGTGTTATGCTTCAGAATAATTTAGAAAAAAGTTGTGTTCCGGGGAAGAAAGCATCATAACTCTTGTAGACATGTCGGCCTTTAAGTGGTTGTACTGGCCTATAGTTGTTAACTAAAGCCTCTCTCATTCCCTCGTGATTTACTGAAAATAGATCGGCAAAACATATATCAAGTACATGTGAAACATTCTATAGATACCTTTTCCATTTGTTACAAAATAAACAAATATAAAAGGTACAGAAAATAAAGAGTATGAAGAAGGTAAGCAACTCCTTTAGGACGATTTCAAGATAAGATAGCCATAGTTTTGAACTCTTATCGAGTTATTGTAATTCAAGGAAACTGAAGTGTATATTTATTACATACCATGCCCAGTTGAACTACTGTGATTGGATTTGCTTGGGAATAAGCAATGCCGGAACACATTCAACTGGAACAAGTAAATATATGATTGATATAAATTTCATAAATTGTAATAAGTAGTACATGTATATTATCAAGATGCCAGACTTTATGGTTTTTTTTTCTAACTAATTTTATCTCTAGAAACCTGTAAAACTAAAAATATATTATAAATTAATTATCTAATATGGCCTAAATGTAGCAAAATAAAGCGCTGGATTGAATTTAAATCTATCTAAATAAGTCTTTTTCTCGTATTATTGTTTGTCTTTAACAAACCTGTAAAACTACTTATGTATGAGGCACAAGTGTGTAAAATTATTTATATCAAATGACTGGTATGTAAGTTGAAAATTATTAATATGTAAACTTGGCATATAATGATAAATACTATACATGCCTGTCTCTCTGATAGCGTTGCTCTCTTTTCAAAAACTGTCCATATGACACTTTCTTGGCAACCAGGTGTTGTAAGGGAGCCTTGGTACCTATAGAATCGGCGAGAGTTACGAGGCAGCAACTTCGTGATAGGAACAGCTGGAATCTGGACGCGATTGTCCCAATCTAATTATGATAAATATTACAACTTAAACTTCTATAGTCATTTTTTCTAAACAGACAGTACACAAAAGAAAAATATTAGGCAGCAGGGAAATAAAATTTCATATCTAGCTAAACATACAAAAAATAAGACTTTGCAAATAACTTAAATAATAAAAGCGTAGATACTGCACAATGTTCACAAAATCATCTTCTTCTGTATGTTATGTCATAGCAACATTTTGTCGGAAGTTTAATTTAGAATACTTCACTAACACGGGGCTCCATCCAAATAATATCGGTACTTTTGGCAATACCCTGAAAGGTTTATTTTACCTGGGTCTCTTACTTGCTGGATTGCCTGTATCATAGGGTCTAAAACAGGGTTGTCCTTTGTCGATACCTCGAAAAGTACTCCTAGAACAGCAAGTCCATCTGAATGTTTTAGGGCTTCTTTCAAAGATTTATATTTGTCCGAGTTCCAGTTTACAATATGCATCTAAAACATTATTAAAAAAAAAATAATTCTTAGGTCAGAAAAAAAAATATTTCGGTTTCTAAATGGAGAAAGTTAGCAATATTTATCCTTTAATACCTCTTTTTTGAGAATCAAATTGTTTTAACTACCAATCAAATTGCCGAAAAAAATAACCTACCCAAAAATTGAATTGTTCAAGCTGTTAAATCATGTTGTTTTGTTATTTGACAAATTGTCATGCGACATATTTCGCTGTAATTATTTTGATTATAAATAAACTCGTATATGCCCATATGCAGGATCGCTCAATTTAAACAAATACAAAATAAATTGACTAAAAAATGCCCAATATATGATATTGGGTTCCATTTTTTACCTCTAATGGGAAAGAAACACCATTTATAGTATGTTCAGATCCATGGCGATCGTTATCTCCCCAGTGGAAATGTAACTGTGCTGTACTGAATACATTTTGTAACCCTCCGTTATATACAAAGAAATTACCTTCTGTGTTTACCTGGACTAATTTTGGAAAAAATGGTGTCATACAAATAAACGAGACGTGAAAATTATAGATCGTACAATTACAGAAATAGATTCATATTCCTTTGAATTCATGAGTAACGTTTATCTTGATCTATGCAAATTTATGAAATATCTGAAATATTTATGAAATATATTTTGTTCCGCCTATGCTCGACTAATATGGTTGATATAATATCTATATCAGTGAAATTCCCAACATTTCAAAATTATTTAATTATATTAATTGTGAACTACAAGTTCTTAAATGGATAAAATGTTATTGTAGCAAATAAAAACATTACCATGTTAACGGCTACTTACTAGAATGACCATTGTTTACTACTATCAATTTTGATCTTGGTGTTGGTTTGCTGAAAGCAAACTTTTCAAGGTACGGACTGTAAATAGCTTCGGGAGTTTTAATATCTATGGGTGACTGGGCCAGCCCCTTGCATGCTGGATATTGATTAGGCCAGTCGTCTGGTCCTGGGAAAGATACAAATGTCATGGCATATTAAATGAATAAAGTAAAAAAAAATAATGTATTAACTGTAAGCTGCATTAGATTTGATTTTACAAATTTTCAAATTGATGATCTCAATAGACGTTAGCTTGTTAATCATTATTTAATTAGAACATTAAATATTCAACTCATCATTGTATGCTAATTAAATATATTATAATTCATAAGATATAAAGATGTCATATGTCTGATTCAGTTTTAATTATCATTGAATATAATAAACATCAAACAACAGAGAGTTAAGCTTTACTTACCTTGTATATAGCTTACGTGCGATTGTCACTTATGTATGGCAGTAAAAAAAAGAGAATACTGTAACCAGCGTTACCCAGGGTGTCATGATAATATTATGTGATTTCAATAGCAAAACAAAATTAGCACTTGTAATGAACATGATGATCTGATCTGCTTTGTTTGATGCTCATATGATACATATTATATAGCAAACAAAAAATATATCTTGATAAGGGCATATACCTTAACTTGATAAAAATTCACAACTGATTTTCTCTTTTCTCTACATTTATTTAAAGTTAAAATAAACCTAGTTTAAATTGTGGCATCTTTTATTGACACTTTGCTTGTGTGGCAAACTGCATCATGTAGAACTTAATTGCGTGAACGCCTGCCTCATAAAAGGTTACAGCTAGGGATCTACCTATATTAATTACATTCATAATCATCACAGGCGATTTCAACCTGGACTATTGCAAACCTCAGACAAAGAAAAAAATAGAAGATTTTTCAATTAAATTTGGCCTGACCCAAGTCATTTGTGAGCCTACACACTTCACAGAGCATTCTCAATCTCTCATTGATCTTTTCCTTGTTTCGTCAAGTGATCTTGTGTCTGTTAGTGGAGTAGGTGAGCCCTTTCTTGATCAGAATATTCGCTATCATTGTCCAGTCTATTGCTGCCTTCGATATGAAAAAGGACAATCCAATACCTTCAGACGCAAGATATGGAACTATGCTTCCGGTGATTTTCACTCTCTCCGTAGAAAAGTTTTGGACTATAACTGGAATACTTGCTTTAATCAGAACATTGATATTTACACTACAAACTTTACAAATGCACTTCATACTCTCTGTGAATCATGTATTCCCTCTAAATCAGTCACTATTAGAACATCGCAACCAGCTTGGATACACAATGACATTCGTAAAGCAATAAGACACAGAAAACAAGCATATGATAAAGCTAAACGAACAAACTTACAAGAACATTGGACCGCATATAAACAATCTCGCAACAAAACCATAACTCTTGTGCGCAATGCAAAGAAGACACATTTTAACAAATTAGCACAACAATTAAAAAACCCAGACATTTCCACCTCAAACTTTTGGACAGTAATCAAACAATTCATAAAACCAAACAAAACATCCAAAGAAATTCCAGCACTAAAACATAATGATCAAATATTTGAAACAAACACTGATAAGGCGAACGCACTAAATCATTTCTTCCAAGCGCAAACTCAACTAAATGAAGCCAACAACCAACTACCAAACACTTGTGTTAATCCAGTAGCTCCGAAACTACATTTTCTAACAATAACTCCGACCGAAGTAACTGATGCACTTCTACTTCTGAAAGCCGGCAAAGCCACAGGTCCAGACAAAATCAACAACTTTGTTTTGAAACAACTATCTGTCGAACTATCTACTCCTCTGTGTAATCTTTTCAACTATTCAATACAGTCAGGGAGAGTTCCACCAGAGTGGAAGATTGCTCAAGTCTGTGCTATCCATAAGAAAAATGACCCACAAGATATTAGTAATTACAGACCGATCTCTTTACTTAGCGCCCTCAATAAAGTTCTTGAGCGTATCCTACACAAACACATCTTCAACTTTTATCATGAACATCACTTTTTCTCTACCTTGCAATCTGGTTTCATGCCTAACGACTCTACTGTCAATCAACTAACTTCCATTTATCATTCCTTCTGTCAAGCCCTAGATGATGGGAAAGAAGTCAGGGCTGTTTTCTGTGACATATCAAAAGCCTTTGACAGGGTGTGGCACCGTGGTCTTCTCTTTAAATTACATCAAAGTGGTATTTCCGGTCAAATCCTTACGTGGTTTGAAAGTTATCTTTCAGACAGAAAACAGTTTGTTGTTGTCTCTGGTACTTCCTCTGATACTGTAACCATCTCAGCTGGTGTTCCTCAAGGTTCCATTCTTGGACCGCTTTTGTTTCTAGTGTACATCAATGACATTGTAACCAGTATCTCATTACCCATACGTCTTTTTGCTGATGATACAACTTTGTATATCATTGTCGAAAATCCAGTTACTGCTGCTGAACAACTCAACATAGATCTTCAAAACATCAATGCCTGGGCACATCAATGGCTTGTTTCCTTCAATCCCTCCAAAACTGAGTCCCTTATAATCACACGAAAACAAAATAAAGCAGTTCATCCACCTGTTATTTTCAATAATACAATTGTATCAAACGTTCATATTCACAAAAACTTAGGTTTACTTTTTCAGAAAATGGCTCCTGGTCAAACCACATTCAAGACATCAAAAACAAAGCGTGGCAGCGTATAAATATTCTTAGAACCTTCAAATTTACCCTTGACAGAAATCTATCGAAATAATATATATTTCCTTATACGTCCAATCCTTGAATATGCTGACACTGTATGGGACAACATTACAAAAGGCGAACAAGAAGACATTGAACGAATCCAATTAGAAGCCGCTCGAATCATTTCCGTGTGCTACTCAACTTGTTTCTCTTTCTAAACTATATCAAGAAACTGCATTAGAACCACTCCAAACCAGAAGGACTAAGCACAAACTCATTCTTTTCTATAAAATGGTAAACTCTCTCGTTCCTCCATATCTCTCAAATCTTGTTCCAACATCAGTTGGTAGTGAAACTCCTTATGGGCTTCGCAATTCTGAAAATATCAGAAACGTCCACTGTAAGTCTCAGCTATTTTCCAATTCTTTCCTGCCATCAACTATTAACGCTTGGAATAATTTAGCACCCGACGTCCGAAACTCATCCACTTTATCATCTTTCAAACATGCTTTAAATAGAGACATAACAAAAGTTCCATCTTACTATTATACTGGAAGCAGAGAAGTGTCTATCTAACATGCTAGATTACGAATGCATTGCAGTTCTCTTAAAGAACATCTTTTTTCTAAAAATATCATTGAAAGCCCATTGTGCACTTGTGGAGAAATTGAAGACACAAAACACTTTTTTCTTGCATGTCCAATGTATACTAATCAAAGAACAACCATGTTAAACAACCTCAGCAATATCACACCAATCACTGAAAACATTCTCCTGTTTGGAAATGAATCTCTTGACTCGGACAAAAACGAAACTATTTTTAAACATGTGCAAGGCTTTATAACACATACACAAAGATTTAAGCGCTAATTAAAACCCACTATCGCTTCGTCCCTGAAAAAGACCCACACATCTCAAATCTTTCTTCCCCTCCTAACTTTACTTCATGGACTTTCCTTACCTTTATTTTCTCTCTTTGATAATTACTAAACTTAAAATGTTTTAAAAATCAAAACATTTTTCTTTTTGATTTTTTTGTCTGTTTTATCTGTTTTTCTCTTTATTTAAAACCAGGTCTACCATTTCGTTTATTTATTTTGTTCCGGTTCAAAAATGTTTCAAATGAAGTAATATCGTCAGTGCAGATTCTTATGACAGACAGAAGCGAGGCTTAGTATAAGCTACAAAGCTTTATCCTCTATTCTGTATGCTATACTAACACAATGATTGTTTTAATTATATTTCTATTTGTTATTACTAGATTGTGTAATTTTGTACAACATGTGTGTAAATCTATTTGGAAAATAAATATTGTTTAAACCAATTACATTCAAAAATGAGACTGTTCAATTATTCTGTGACAATGAAAATTACTTATGTATTCAAAGTCTACCAAAAAACAATATCTGAATTTCAGTACAAAACAATAACTGGTCATAAAAGCTATAAATATATTTGACTTCCTTTAACAATGTCTCCTTTTGACATTTTATAGCCATATATAATTAGCCAGTTATGATTATGTAATGATAATGGCGACAAATAAATCATAGAAGAAAGGCACATTTACATTTTGTACTTTTCAGTTTGCTCACAAATGAAATGAAATTTAATTCAATTTAAACGCATATATCTATACTTTATATTTAAAGTGTAAGGGTGGACATACTCGTATAGAACACTTTAAAACAAAATTAAGACGCACTGATGAAATAACGTTAAGGAGTCTATAATTAAGCGAACTTTAGCATTGGCATTCAACATGTAAAGCAATAAAAAACACTTCCATTCAAATTGTCTTTGGTAAATGACTTTTTCCATTTTCTTTGACATAGGTGAATATTTTGATATCATTAATCAACTCAACTACTTTATTTAAATGACTTGTCAATTTCAGTCGTATCTGTTGTTTTTTCAGATGAGAACAAACTGAAATATATCAGTGGAAACAGGCATACAAAAAAGTAATACGAACAGTACATTGCTTTATCGCCATAGCCATTGAAATATAATAGGTTACAGATTCAAGTGATGTATTGTGTTGGATGTCTTCAAATAAATACCTGGTTTTCCATTCACATTTTCATAGACTGAAAAAACAAAATACTTTTTTGAATTAAACGATTTAAAATTGAACAAAAAGTTTTAAACAATATGATTATGTACAGCAAAAGCGCTCATTGAACATAATTATGGAAACGTGGATGACGATAATATCCCATAATTAGGATGATGATAATATTTGCTGTATCAAAATACAATATAAATATGCCACATTCGTTTTTGTTTCTTCATAACATACTCTTTCAGGCATCAATGTTTTACCGTTGGTTTCTACAATGTATTGTTCTCTATCGATGTTTTAAAGATTTATTTGAAGAATTCAGAAATACACATAACTTAACCTTCAACAACTAAATTAGTTAAAGCTAATATAGTGATAGATTCTACTTCTGAATATTTTTTCCTTTTTCTATTTATATATAATCCATAGTTATTTCTATTTTCTTTCCCAACATTAACCAGATTTTATATAAAAAACTAAACTAAATCTCATTGAACAATGCTTGGTTTTTCAAATTGATAAAAATCTATAATTTATTTTCAGATCAATATGATGTTTTCTTATCACAATATCGCAATTTCTTGGCAATATGTATATCATGCATTATATCACAAAAAGTATTTATTTACCGTTGTGACCACCCTTTCCGTTTGCATTTGTCACCAAAAATATAATAAGAGTTATCAAATAAAATATCCAGAAATTCATGTTCACATAACGATTGATGTTCTTTCGAAGCTGGTCCTTATGTTAAATGACAGCCGTGTTTTATAAGGATTAAATACAAACCTTAAGGTACTAGAATACCGACATCTAATATATTTATAAAAAACGTATTATTTCAAATTTTCTTTGCTAATTATATGTATTCGATCCTGACAAACATGTCCATTAGGAAATACATGCAATGCAGAGATGCATGTTTTAAGAAGGTTGCATGACATAGTAGTGTCAGAAAAAAACACATGTTTGGTGTTTACCCGTATGTTAGACAAGTTAAATTGAAACATTCATTTTGTTTGTCATATACACCACTTGTGTAGGTAATTCATAGGTTTCCACTGCACTTAATTAATATTTTCATACAGTTTAACCTTTCATATAAACATGACAAGTGTAATCTTTTATTGACATTAATACATCCTGCATTACAATAGCTGAATTATATTTTATGCGTTGAACTAATTGACATGTGAATATATTTAACCAACAACGCTATGAACTTCTTGCTTTTGATTGTTTTATTAAACAAACAATTTTGAATATATATTTTATGATTCATGTTTCCGTCGTGAATATTTTCTGCAGTCAGTAGTTATAATCATGCACAGACCGATATGCAAATTACATTTCCTTCCGAATAAAAAAAGACACACACAAAAAACAACACATACATGTACTTGCCGTCACAAAAATAAATCCGGTTCCATCGACACTTTACGCAAAATATTAGTTTAAAGATGTTATCATACATGTGTCATACAATTGTATACAGTGGGGCTCTTACATGTTTCCATTCAAGATTATGATTACAACTGTTTTATTAACATTATGTTGACCAGTATTGTGACTTTAATTCAGATTATTTGTAGCCCATGTCTAACGGATCATCATACAGATTAAGCCATATCACCAATTCAGGTGAATATTTTTCTTTTACTTCAGGATTCTTTTTTTGTTCTGTAACATGCCTTTTGATATGGGGTATTGCAAATTATATTCTTTATCCTCTTATTGAATCGGTCTATGAAATGAATTATATTGGAATATGTATGTTAACCGATCAGTAAAACATACTGTCAGACAGTAAACATGTGGTATTTTCTTTAGGATCAGTAAAAAATGATTACACAAATACTTCTTTGTAACTGTTACACTGAAATCGTGTTCTGTCTTTATTATCTAATACAATGTACGTAACTGAAACAGCACATCAGAAATATAAATAAAAATTAGTTTGCTGACAGGTATTTATTTTACGGATGTCCTATTTATAGACATCAAAGAACTATAAAAAATGATATATTTGCCTTTCAGTAGAATACACCATATTTGATGAAACAGTGTCAGCTTTTAGTACTGTTATTAATATCTGTAATGTTATCTGCATATGCTACTTTTTGAAGTTGCCTAACCACTTCGTATCTTCACATCAGAAGCCTGTTAAGTGCCACGTGTTAATTGATATTAAACACATGCAACATGTGCATTTTACGATGATAAATAGGAACATTAGATGATTCACAAGTTTAAATGCTGTAATGCATTAAAGCAGCATGCCTCCAAAGTCATGCTGCTACTTTTCCTGAAAAAAATTGAAAATGTATTTTAAAGTAAAATATTGTTAAAACAAAGAAAGTAATATAAACATTGCAAAAGGCATTTATAGTCCACGTAAATTACCAAAAAGAGGTCAAAATATACATAAACACCTATTACTGCGTTAGTAACGCAGTAGAATAATAATGATTGATACTGCAAAATCAATCATTAATCGCACATAACATGTAAATAATTAACAAATATTGAAATTTTTTACCTATTTTTAGATCTTAATACATTTTTCTACAGATTGAATTTCTTGAAATATTTTGACTCATCTGGAGGCGTGCAGCTTAAATGAAAATTTGGAGTATTTACCTTATATCAAATTTATTAAGAATATCGCTCCGCATAGACGTACGGGTTTTCCCATAAAATGGGTAAAATGAATAGTAAATTTAGGTAAGCAGCAATGATATTTTATTGACAGAGTAATACATGTATCATAAAATATATGTTTTTAGTAAAGTTTAATTATTTTTCTACTACTAATATCTATGCTAAACGTACCAACTTGCATTTATTTGCTTATCATGCTTAACAACTTTCAAGCAGAATATTTATCAAATTACAAACAATTTCTTTATTGCTACCATATAAACAGCTTACTTTTAACAGCTTTTGAACGAACAGTTTTAAGGGGAAAAAATGTTGTCATTACTTACATCTGATGATTGTAAGAGAATGAACAGATCTTGCTCTAAAATTGTGTCCGATAATGAATCGATATTAATCAGCTGCAGATTGTCAAAACATGACATTTATATGTTTCCTCTTTTTCCTCAACTATAACACTTTTAAACAATATTCGACTAAGAGTACATGGCAGTATCAATAAAATATGACACTGTTATTTCATCTATCGATACATTTCTATACACATTAATCAGCAAATTAAAGTTTTTATCAAAACTAAATTATGCATGTCATGTCGTCGTTATTCGTCAATTTTGAATATTTCTACATGTATCATATTTTCTTCGTAATTGTAAATATCTCGTGTGATTGTCTTCTTATTTATGTTATTATTTCTTTGCAAGTCTTTATATAAATCATCATCGTATGTTTTATTTACTGTAATTTCAAATATAACTTGCATGCCGAGCAAAAGTGTTTACAAACTTCCCGGAAAAAATAATTTCACGTTTGCTTTCAAACATATCTTCTATGGTTTTGCCAGAAATTGATGACTTTTTTCTTCGGTGCTGTATTTAGGCACTTCCCAAAATCAATATTTTATCTATGGTTTACGCCAGAAATTGTTTACTTCAATTCAAAAAATCAAGACGTAGGTTTATTTCTTTACAGGCATTAATTACTTAAACAGAGAAAAGAACCATGCGAAATTTATAAAGCTGCAATTCTATCTTAAGCAGAAACATTTTGCATCTGGACGATTTTTATCAATAATCATTGCAATGTTTAAGCTCTTTTAAACAAACTTTTAAAATATTTATCCGGATCATATCCGAGTTCTGTAAAAAGTATGTCATCTGGGTGTCCACTCAATACAATGTCTTTTGTTACTTCTTCCAGAAAGGTGTGATCTTTCTTTTCAAAAACCTCTTTGAATGAACGTAATCGAGGATATTCTACCATGTATTTCGTTACACGTTGGTCGTTCTGGTATCTTCTTCTAATATTTCTCCATTCAGTCTTTCTAGCTAGAATGTAAAATATCGAGTGGCCAGCCTTTGTGCGCATACGATAATCGGCTTTATAATCTTCAACAAGTACCTTGAATATTTCGAAATCTACTTTATCACATGCCGTATGTAGCGGCGTTTTCCCGTATTTGTCTCGTGCGTTAACAGCACATAGAGGAGCTAACAACTTTACCACCTCTATTTTACCTTTATGAACCGCAGCATGTAAAGGTGTATATCCATTGTGGTCAGCTATATGCGCATCTGAATGCTCGGAAAGCTTCTTAATCACGTCATATTGCTTGTTTTCGTCCGAAGTCAGTATCGTTTCTTTCTTTTTTTCAAATCCGTATACGGCTACATACAGCGGTGTTCTTCCGTAGAAGTCGCGAACGTTGGGACATACATTAATTTGAAGTAAACACTCAATTAGTTTAACACTTTGATTTAGAACAGCGATATGATACAAACTGCCGCCCTTGATTCTGGAACTTTTACCATAAGAAACTCTGTGTTTCTGGGTTACTTTTGATGTGTCAGCTTTCAATAGAATGTCAACAATATCAACATTATCACTAAATGCAGCGCATTGTACTGGATAATGTCCCCTGTAGTCTTTTACATTGACCACTAATCCGTGCTCTAGAAGTATACTTGTAATGCTAGCATTACCAACATCTGCATTTATGTGCAAAAGCGTTCGCTTGAATTTCGCACTTTTGTTTTTTACGTTAGCTTTATTATCCAGAAGAATTTTACACGATTCTGGTGCGGCATACATGACGGCTTTATCAAGGGCTGACCAGCCGTTTTTATTCCTATAATTGACATTACAACCATGGCGAATTAAAGTCTTAATGCAGTCAACTGCCTCTCGATTATCGTTTTTAGCAGCTGCAATAAGTGGACTGTTTTTGTTAATACTATGAGGACATTCTGTGCAATCTCCAGTAAAATTCTGCAGTAAATACTCAAGGCTTTCATTGTTAGTGTTTGCCGATGCAAGAAATATAGCGTTTTCATCAACAATAACGCCTCGCTGTACCAAAAGTTCAAGGACATCTTTAAAACCACATTGCGAGGCTATTAGCATGGTTGATTTTATAAAATCTGTGTTGTGTATGCATGGAAAATTTTGTTCTAAAACCCTTTTTATGAGCAGTGAGCTCTTGTACAGGAGTGCAAGAGTTGGTAAGTAGATTGCAAAACTTTCTCCGAAGTCGAGGTCACAACCGAAATCGAACCAGTTTTGCGGCATCATTTCCACTGGTCTAGAAAGTATAAATTGGCCTTCGTTGCTTTCGCAAAATATTTTGACAAAACATTTGTTGTTGAAAGAATCAAGTTCCAATAAAGACGTACGAACGGACAATTCATTTGATCCTGGTTCAAAATGCGCATACGTTTTGAATCTTTCGTAGATTATAAAGTCTCTTCTAAGATATCTCATTCTACTGTTTGGTTCCTTTGCGTCCATCGCTTTGCATACTACTTTGCAGATTTCCTTTAATCTAAACGGTTCCATATAGATATGGAGTCCATCATCCTTCTTTTTATCTGTTGTGACAAACTGTTTCAAAAATTCAATATCAGATTCAATGAATTGTAAGACAAGTGTTTTATATTCTTTGCCAACGACTAGCCCAACCATGTCCTTCACAGTATTGTGACTGAATCCATAAGTGCCATCATACGAGTTAAAATACAAAAATCCATCTTTATGGTACTCTAATGACATGCAAATAGTTTCAGTTGTCACACTGCCGAGTTCAAAACCAAATTTAGCTACTGTTTCTTTTATTTCTTTGGAGATATTTGGTGATTCAACGTCAGCAACAAATAATTTCTTGCCCGGTCTGGTCCAAACAAGTATAAGTGCAAGAGACTTTTCCTTGTCTAGGAATATTTCCTCAATACACTTCTTGAAAAATAAAAATGGCTCGCTAAAAAAGTTTGACCCTTGTGAATAAAGATGATCGTTCTTCACAAATAGATTAACAATTTCCGGAAAGCCTATCATTGCCTTAAATTCTCCAAATTCTGACGGGATTGAACCCATGTAATAAGACTCTCGTTCGTACCCTCTGTTGCACTTTTTTATTAGGTCTGCATTATATTCTCTTTTTGAATGTATCAAATGGCTCTTCAGCATTTCGATTCTTTCGTCATCGGTGAGATCACATGATGACAGTATCTGAACATTGTCGTCTCTTAATATCTTCAAACATTTTAACTTTTCTTTTGCTTCTTTAAAGATATAATGACGGGTTGTGATCATCGCTTTGATTGCTTTGGCTTTGATGGCTTTGTCTACATCTGGCAAAAGCTGTGACCAATCATCTAGAAGTGTTCTATTTACAGCACCTGCTCCAAATATATCATCGATAAATATTGTAACTGGCGTCTCTTTATTCAACGGTACATCTTTCCAGTCTGCAGGACAATTCAGTTTACGGCAAAAACCTTTTGGTGTTGTCTCTGAGATCAGTTTAGTTGCCATAGTTGTCTTGCCTTCACCTGGAAGTCCACTTAATATCAGACAGCCGGTGATATTAAATTTTTCCTTCGCCTTTTTATGGGTTTGTGTTGTTACATAAACATCATCACGCTCAATGTCTTCTATATAGAAATTTGTCACTGCTGCAATTGATAAAAGTGTAAACATTAGATCGAGTATTGTACACAACGTAAAAACACAATGTCTCGTTTTTATTGTTTCGAATAATAACGTTTGAAATAACAATAATTTTCTTAAATACATGTATAATAAGTATCAAAAGGTGGCTTTGTGATTAAACTGTTTCAGGTGTTCAAGTAACACACCATTTGAAAAGAATGTAATGGAAATGTATTGCAAACCAGTCTTTAATCCTTCAACAAGGATTGTTTCCGTTCTGATACTTATATAATCTAATTCAGTACAGTATAGAAAATTCCCCTACATATGAAGCTTCAAAGAAGGATAAATAAGCACTGACTCATATTTGCCACACTCGTCTTTTTTTCAATTCTTGACTACTCTGTTTCAGTTGTATATATTTTCTAAGACATACACACTTACATGTCGTGTTACCAGTTGTAGGAATGTTACGTGTTTCACTAACTGATGATTCTTGTACTGAAAATGCAAATAATTAATATTTCATCATTATTCATAAAAAGGAAAATATCTTATGTTCGAATAACAATATTTCTTATTCGAATAACAATCTTTCTTATTCTAATTCATTTCATTTAAAGTTTCAAATTGTTTATAAAGTCAGTATTACTTTACTATATATGCTATATTGCTTTGATTTGAAAAATAGTATATAATTAAAAGGAAAAATGATCTATCGCCTCGGTCAGTATGTTATCTGCCGGTAAATATCACATCATATTCAATAGTTCTCTTTATTATAATAGTTCACAAAAAATCAGCCTTATACAACTTTTTATTGTGAAGTGCGGTTAAAAAACGCATATACATGATGACGCCAGGCGTTCAATGACTACGCCAACACTGCGCAAACAAAGGTAATTCAAGTTTTTACACATCATTGCGGTGCAAACTATTATAGTAAAGTAATATGATATCTTAATCCAGAAATATGACATAAAGAACAAAACACAATAAATATTTTATGTGCACGCGTAATTAACAGTCCAAAATGTATTGTCTCAATCTAGTTTTAGACTGGGAAAATTCAATACAGCCTGTGAACAGAATACTGCAGCGAGTGAATATGATTTTATGTTTAATCCTTTTTTCTCTTTTTTTATGAAAATATGTTAACATCTTGAAAGTGGGCATCAACCTAGAGCATTACAATCATTTACAGATTTCTATCTACTTTTGTTTTTCTCACCTCTAGATTGCAATGAAAACGTAGTAATGGTTTCTTCTATAGTTTGAAGTTTCTGTTCGACATGTTCGACGTGTTTTTGATGCTTTTGTTCAAGAGTTTGAATATTTCTAGAATTCTCAGAACAACAGTTTTTATTGTCTTCAACAGTTTCTTTCAATGCTTCTAGAGTTTCTTTGTTATCATGAACCTCGGTCTTCAAGTCATCAATCTCACCCGTCAGACTCTCGTCCATCTTCTCCCACTCTGCTATTTCATTTTGATAAGTTTTCTCTTTTTCTGGATCAATACTATTTTCCTTCAGGTTCTGGATTTCCTGTTGCAAGTTTGGAAGACCTGCCCCAAGACGTGTAATTACCTAAAACGCCAGAATAAAGTAATGTTATTTTTGGTTCAGTGAAATCGGCCGAAATTTTATTATATGTGGGTTTTTATTGTGATTTATTAATAAAGTAAGATGCTAGTAGAGACTTGGAGCACTTTGTCTAGTGGTCATGTTTCGATTTCTAGTAAAGAAACCGGATCAGAAGGAGGTTTTCATATGATAATTGAAGATACTTTCAGAAAATATCTAAAATAAATGATTGTTATGCATTATTAAAACTGTATAAAATAATGATAAAAAGATTTCGTTCAATTTCTTTTCTTTACTATACGTTATGAATATTTATCACTTAATTTGCTAAAAAACTGAGCTACCTAGAGTATACAGCCTGGTAAGACAGCAGTCACGCCCGCCTAGTCTTGTTCTATAGTGATGACAAAGGCTAAACATTTACGGTTTCAGCATGTTTTGTAAGAGATAAAAGTTAAACAGACTCCAAAACTGAACTGTATTTAGTAAACAGGAAGAATGTTTAAGCACCAAACACCAGACAGAGCTTGTGTTTAACTTTCAGGGCGGGGGGGGGGGGGTTGAGTGGCTAAGGTCCGTGGCTTCAAACTACTTTCCCCTCAGCACTATGTATTTAACTCCCTTACGCAACCATATTCTTGGCAAATAGCAAATAGTTTTATAATAACATAATTCATTCGATTCAACTTCTTTAACACTTTACAACATTACAGTATATGACACAGTTTCTTACCTTCTCAATTTCTGTCCATTTTCTGTTAAATTCACCCTTGTTTAATGAGATAGATATCAAATGAGCTACCTGAAACACGCACATAATTGTATCAGACTTTAAATTTAATATCTATATCAAACATGACTGTGTAAAATAATTATTTGTAAAAATTTAAATTTAAAATTATTTCTTGCAGAGAAAACATTATTACAAAATAAAACTTTTCATTTTGATAATTATTTCTTGCAGAGAAGACATTATTACAAAATAAAACTTTTCATTTTGATAAAATCAGTTTCAGTTTTTATTAAACCAAGGCATATAATATGCAACTGGTCATAACAACAAACAGAAAAATAACAGTCATAAATCATTAACCCCTTCTCTGCCATAGGCTTATGCCGTCCCTGTTATTTTCGGCGTATTTGCCATATGGACGGCTTTTGCCGTTTCTATTATACTCATAATAATAATAATAAATTAATAATAATAATAAAAATAATAATAAATATAAAGAAAATTATACCATCGACAATTATAAATTGTTATTATACTACATGTAGCATATTTGGAAACATATATAATTATTATAAGTCGAAAAGATAAATATTTACATCATTTCGGTATTGTTTCAGTCTGTTAACATCGGCCTCTACTGATATGTCAAAAGAAGGAGGTACACCATTCCACGACGTAGATTGTTCGTTAAGTCCACATATGTATTTCAGCAAGCAGTACAGTAGAGAAACATCAAATCTGCTTGAACATGGCCGACCTGTTGTTGGATATAGCAAGTTCCATTGTGTATTTGTTAAAACGCGTTTATTGAGTAAGGCGTTCAATTTTCCACGAGTGTTTGTATCATTAAGAGTATTTTGCAGGTCACTTGGTGTAATAAGTTGATCAAATCTATGACGTAATACCAATGTTCCACCGTCTACGACGAGAGATAGAAGTCGAAAACAATCAGCTTTCTCCTCTGTCGGTGTTAAAGAAACCGGCAATGCAAAAGCCATTCCTTTCCAAATTACATTTCTTCTGTGAGATATTGATAGAGCACCACTCAGATCAGAACGCCTAAAAAACAACCATAAAAAATGAAATCTTTACTTAAGTCAAGTAATTCACTTAAAATGTAAAGTCTGTAAAGGATAATCAGGAAATTCTCAATATTAGATTGAAAGTCGAATTTCTTTGTTCGAGTCTTATCCCGATTTATATGAAAAACGTTGCAATGCTTTTCAATTTCGGGTCATTTTGCACATTCTTGAAAAACGTGGCGTTGGAATGATTTTAAAATCAGCACACAATTTATTGGTCCAGACCTACATCAAATAGACGCATATCTCGGGAAAGCATCCCCAGTCCTGTCACGTTAGAAAACGTCAATGGAGTCCCTTTAAAATGTAAATGATCAATAAACATACAAACAATGAATTAATTAAGTTTAAAAACAAAATATAGCATGTAATATTAGCATATATATGTTACAAATATATGGTACTTTATAATATCATGACAGTACTTAACCGAAATAAGAATAAGCGTGTTTTTACACATTCGATTTAAAATTGAATGGGGTGAAACGCTGGTGTACTTTACTAGGTGATTTTGCATTAATTTGTATGAAATTACTTCAAGTGCAGCAACTGTAGGTTTGAGACTCATGTGGAGTCTTTCTTATCATTATTTTGGAGCATGTTATACAATACAATATTAACTGTATTGTTCTACATTTGATGCCCCTTTCACGTGCAAAAGTTCAACCCTTCAGACAATAAGTAATATAAAGAACATCGTATAACGACTTTCTAGTCCGTTCAGTTACACCACTTTAATAACCTGCTTTTTGCACATGTTTCCACATGTGTACTTTGAGCCACCGTAAACTTTGTCAATAATAATTAAAATGCACAGACACTGCTAGGATTGTCAAATATACATTTTATTTGGATTTGAAGGCGTTTGGGGCTCCAAACCCCCAAGTGTCTTGTGATAAAATGTGGACATCGCATTATTTTTTTCCAGTATCGTCGGTCGAAGAAAGATCTTTTCGTGTGGGGTTTGTGCGTTTGAAGAAATTCGAAAAATATTGAAACAAAAATCGACTTACTAATCTATTGGGAGTATTGCATTTATCTAAATTGTATTTTTGACATTATTCGACCTTCAAAAGTTTTTCATAAAGTAAAACAGCAACTGAACAGTCTTTCATCAAATAAACATATGTGTAAGTAGATCTATAATTCTACAGTTGCTTATAAAGTATGGTGCAAAGTTTTTATCAGTCTGAAGGAATAAAAGTGCGGTGTTTTAATTCAGTGTTGTGCGGTGCTCCAATATTCGTGTCAATAGGTCTTTTTTCAACATAATTTATATTACATGATTTTTTAAATAGAAAAACACCCTTTTGTGCGGACCTTGAACTTATGGTTTACCATTATAATTATATGGGTTCGTCTGGTCATAGAAATAAACACATCCTCGTTATAGCAAAGGTAATTGTGACAACTACCAGTCATGTCGAGGTCAACATGACCTTTTGTAAACACTATTTCTTCGAAATATGTGATGCTTTGCGAATTGCGTTGTGCAAGATTAACGATGAATTGTCGAATAATTTAAAATTTGGAATACTTTTACAATGTTTAGCAGTAAGATATTTTATAAGCTATAACCTGTAATTCGATTGGCCCGTCGTTACAATTTTGTCAAGAAATATACGGTTTATCGATTAGAACACTTAGAAGTATGACTTTTTTACGTTGCGCCGAAAAGTTTTGGTAAACGCCCTATCACCGTGGATTTGTCAATTTAAAACGATGGTGAACAGTCACATAAAATGAAACGTCACACTCAAATAATCATGAATAAACAAACAGAAAACCACTTTATTCTCTGTCCCTGAATGATAATATGAGATCTTGTTTACATAATAATGCGAAATAAACAGGAAATCAATAATATTCTGATTCTAATAAAGGCACATAATGTCTCAGAAATGAATATTTTGTTTCATTCATACATAAAGAGGGGTATTATGTGTTTTACAAATTGTTGTAAAACCTGATTAAGAACATATAAAATGTTTGCCTACCGCAGAAAATAGCACTGAATATGAAATAACTTGTAACAATCAAAAGGTTTCAAAACGTAACCAAAGTTCAGCCCGGATCCGCTATTCTTCAGCCCGGATTCGCTATTCTTTTCATTATGTGTTTACATCAATATTGAAAAATAAGGGTGTCGATAATTCTCATATAAACGCAATATCTTTAACCACCTAATCAATCATTCGTTTTTGATGCATTTACCATAATAGCGTAGTGGTAGTGTTCTTACTGTGAGTGTAGAGACCCTGATTCGACTCCTTGAAAAGGGCATTTTCTCTTTTATTTTTTGTTTGTAGAACTGGATTTTAATTGCCCGTGAATTTCTTTCACACAATACTATTTGAAAACATTTATATAGTTATACACACATTCGCATTCAACAGGTTATTATAGGGTAATTAAGAAAATATAATTGTTAAAAATGTGGCAAACAGAATACAATTGATAACACTATTCAATCTGTTCAATGACAGTTAAAAATCAAATACAATCATTTTAACCGTCATAAGTTTAACTTTAAATTGTGCAAAACATCATAAAAGAGAAAATAAAAAGTTACGTGACACACAATCACAAATATATTCTGAAAGTAAAAAACATGCACAATTGAACTCGAAAAACCATGTTCATAATAACCCAAGATCTTCATAATTTGAATCCACTTTTAAAGCTACATGCCGCCAGATGAGTCAAAATATTTCAATAAAATCAAACTTGAGAAAATGTTCTTAGATGTAAGGAAAAGTAAAAAGTTTCAAACATATTTTACATATTATATGTGATTAATGACTGATTTTTCAGTATTCACAACTATATTTCTACTGCGTTACTAACACAGTAAAGGCTATTTATGCATATTTTGACCATGATTTGGTAATTTACGTGGTTTGTAAGTGCCATTGATAATGTGTAAATCGCTTTCTTTTGGTTACTTCACAATATTACACATTCAAATACGTTTTCAAAATTTTCATGATAAATAGCATGAATAACAAGAGCTGTCGGTAGGACAGCACGCTCGACTATTCTAAGTGCATGATAGTAAAAGAGCCTTGATAATGTTAAATTTTTTAAGTTCACAAAAGGGCTAATTTTTTTATAGGCCTTAGAGAGAGTCTAATTATACAGTATTGGCTTGACTATTTGGAAGGTAATGTCACAAGGGTGTTTTATTGAGTATAATAATACTAATTACCTATGAATACATAAATTTGACAGAAAAGGTATTGTTATTAAGATGTTTTATCATGTAAATCACTGCTTTTTTATTATGAATGCATAAAATTGTCCAAAAAAGGCACAAACCCTTCAGTAGTCATTGAGATTACAGCTTACAAGCAAAATTTTACCATGAATTTCTAAGTTGAAAAAGGGCAGAAAAATCAGCCTAAATGCAAGATAGAATTATGGATCTTTGTCAGTGACCTACAATTATGACCCTAAATGCATATGTGAAGTTTTAAATAAATATCTTTAATAGTTATTGAGATATGTAAAACGTGCATGTAAACATTAACCAAGACACTAAGTAGAAAAGGGGATATGAATCAGCCTTAATGCAAGACAGAGTTATGGAACTTGGTCAGTGACATACAATTATGACCCTCCAATTATGACCCTAAGTGCATGTGTAAAGTTTCAAGTAAATATCTTTGAAGACCTTTAACCAAAATTTCTAAGTTTCAAAGGGGCAAATAATTCTGCAAATATTGCAGGCAGAGTTATGCAATTTTGCAAACTGATGTACATTGTTATTATAAAAAAGTATTTTAGATTTCAATTGAATATCTCAAGCAATAATTGAGATATTTGACTTTACAAAAAAACTTTAACCAAAATTTTTAAGTTCCAAAGGGGCATAATTCTGTCAATATTGTAGCCAGAGTTATCCAACTTGTCAATCTGATGTACCTTGTTACTATAAATAAGTATTGTAAGTTTCAAGTGAATATCTCAAGCAATAATTGAGATATTTGACTTTACAAAAAACTTTAACCAAAATTTCTAAGTTTAAAAGGGGCATAATTCTGTCAATATTGTAGCCAGAGTTATCCAACTTGTCAATCTGATGTACCTTGTAACTATAAATAAGTATTGTAAGTTTCAATTGAATATCTCAAGCAATAATTGAGATATTTGACTTTACAAAAAAACTTTAACCAAAATTTCTAAGTTCCAAAGGGGCATAATTCTGTCAATATTGTAGGCAGAGTTATCCAACTTGTCAATCTGATGTACCTTGTTACTATAAATAAGTATTGTAAGTTTCAATTGAATATCTCAAGTAATAATTGAGATATTTGACTTTACAAAAAACTTTAACCAACGCAGACGCCGACGCCGGGGCGACTACAATAGCTCTCATATTCTTCGAATAGTCGAGCTAATAATTGAAGAACTTGTACAACCCACTCTATCATAATGGTACGATCGATTTAATAATATCAATGTTATGTTACTGTGTTCGATTTATAATGACGAAGGGTGGAGTAACTATATATACATGCTGAGATCGATCAAAAGACGGTCTGATCGATAAAGTTATAAACATACAGTACCGATCTTCTATGACAATGGCATTGAGATATTTTATGTATAATTCAGCGTTTTGTGTTTTACATGTATAACAAATAGCAGATGTAACAATATCAAGCAGATGAATTGCATTCTTACCTTGCTAAAAATGTTTTCCGAAAGTATCATTAAAACATTAAAGTCACCTTGATTAAACTTTTTTTCACGTAGGCGGATATGACGTAATGATTTGTTATCACAACCGCTAATGTTATAGATTATAAAAAAGTTTTCATGTAATGTAATTCTAGAACTTAATTAAATAACATCACATGCCCTGTATTTGTTCTTAATAGAATCAGGCCTAATATTTTAATCCAAATAGCATATTTCTTAATTGCTTGAAAATTATTATGTGAATATTAAAAATAAAAATCGATTATGTAAATCGTGAACTTGTTTCTTGGTCAAGTCATATTGGCTACAATATATATATATATACATTTAAACTTTTCAGACGGAGAGGTCCGATGCAAATTCTGAATAAAAACACAACCAAACTATCAATACCCCGTGCGTCTGCAACTCAAGCTATTTGTCGACAGTTGCAATTCAAATTTGCATAACTAGTCTTCTCCTTTTATTAGGAGACTGAGAATGAAAAATAAGAGAAAGCACACTTCACTAAACTGAAGGCTGGTGCGTCAGGTCAGTCACAAATAACAAACGGCCGCCGGCGTCTATTTCTCCAAAAAATCGTAATATCGACCGATGTCTGTCTGGCCACTGTGACAACCGGACGGCAGCAGCTGAAAATTTTGGTCATCGTGCGGGCGCCGTCGTGTTTTAAATACTTCTTAAAAGTTTACGATAAATTTTGGGGTCAGTGAGTTGTCATCTGGCGAGGATCGCCCGGGCGGCGCCGGGGCGATTTTTATTGGATCGAATGATTGTTTGTGATACAGAAACGCCGTCCGATTTTATAAACATTCAGGCGGGCATCGCCCCATTGTGTACACCGGTCTTACTTCGATATTTGAGAGACCGGTGTGTATATATTGGACATCGCCCGGACATTAAAATAATTGCGACACCAGTTAGCGAACGAGCATCACCCAGTACCCGGACGATTCATGCACAAGCACCGGGCGGAAATCGTTTTGTCTTATGGCGATCGCAATCAGTTTGTTGTAATCGCAGCTTAAGATTTTTGTAATTGCCTAAAAATGTATCTGTGAATTCTTTTGGATTTAATATTACCTTTACGGTCGAGCAATAACGCCTTCGCGGATTAGTATTAAGGATATAAGGCAAACTACAATTGTTGCATTTTTTGCTTGGTCTTCATCTTGTCTCTATTAACTGCGTTCCTTGCTTGCACACTAACTATACTGACTGTTTTTTTTTATATAGAATATCGTAAAATTATATACTTTTTTTCGCCCGGCGCCCACCTCCGATTCATTTATAAATCGCACATGCGCCGTCCGGACATTTGGTATAAACATATTTTATTCTATATATTTACATTATGATGAACAATATTTACACAATACATTTGGGATTGGGCAGAAAGCTATGAAAGCTTATGAGTGTCCTGTCCCAGTTTAAACAATTTACATATATACAGTTCATGGCATTATCATGCACAAAATTCATTTAGTTGAAAATATATCAAAGACATTTTCAAAAAATATGTATTTTGCAATTAATAAATACTTAATATATGGTCATGAGAGAAAAAAAAGCAAAAGAAAAATGAAACAAAATGGAGGTGAAAAAATAAATTATTGTATGACAAATTAATTTAGTTAGAAGTCGCCGTTTCATTTTCACCTAGGAATGTGCAATCGAAAAGACACTGTTTATTAACGGAGACAAAAGAATGTAATAAGAATCTTAATTGATAGTTATAAAGTACAATTATGTAATTACGAAAAAAACAACAACAAAAAACTACCAGCTAATATTGACAAAAAAACCAAAAAAATTGAGAAAGAAAAGGAGTGGTGGATGAACAATAATAAAGCAAAAGGAGTAAACAAAGATGCATTATATAGTAACTATGTATGTTTAGATGAACAAGCGTAAGTAAGACTTGGGGTACGCGCTAAAAGCGCTTCGTTTCTCGGATGTATTTTTGAACAGCTGTAAAGATAGATACATTAGACTCGTAAGATAAAGAAGTGTTTCCAGTAAGAATGACATTTAAAGAAGGATTACAAAATTCGGAAATAGCCGTTATTAATTCTGGTCGAAGGTTAGTATATTTAGGGCATTCCAAGAAATAGTGATAAGCATTTTCTCTCGGACCACATTCGCAAAATGGAGATTCGATAATATTCTTTTCAAATAGATCGGCAGAAAGCGAACTGCACTGAGTGCGTAATCTTGTGTGAAAAATTTGAAGTTTGCGATCACCAGAAAGAAAATAAGCAGGCACACTTGGCAAATCATTATTAAGAAGGCGCTTAAAAGAAGCTAAGGTTGGGGCATTTTGCGTTTGAGGTGGAAGAGAATTGAAATCTCTGATAACAGAAGGCAAGAATGATTTATAGTAATAATCTGTATTTGTGTGAATATTCTGTGTGTCGTTTGAGTTCCGGAGTGGGTACCGATGCTCACTACCAACAGACGGAGGGACAAGGTCAGAGAGGTATTGAGGGGTAAGACATTTTTTCATTTTAAAGAAAAGAATCAATTTATGTTTGTAACGCCTTTTTTCCAAGGATTCCCACCCAACTTCTTTCATGAGTTTATCAATAGACACAAGTTTAGTTGTTCCGGTAATTATTCTAGCTGCTTCTTGGTGAATTTGTTCGAGCTCTTTTTTATCATTTTGATTACAATTGTCAAATAATACATCTCCATATTCTATAATCGGTCTAATAAATGATAGGTATATGATTTGTAGTGAATTCCTGTCGAGTTGAAATTTTAGTTTTTTCATGACATTTATTCTTTTCCAAGCTTTATTTTTAATGTATTCAATATGTGTTGACCAACGTAAATCATGAGTAAAAGTAATACCTAAGTGTTTGTGATTACGTACTTCTTTTATTTGTGTGTTTTGCATAAAAATAGGAGGATGATTTATAAGTCTGTTTGTTTTACGCGATATTAATAATGATTCTGTTTTAAGGGGATTGAATTTTACCAACCACCTTTCGGCCCAAGAAGTTATGTTTTGCAAATCTGTGTTTAGGATAGTGGAAGCAGTGATAGGGTCTTCTACAACAATAAAGAGATTTGTATCGTCAGCGAAAAGTCTTATATTTGCATTAATATCGATAACAATATCATTAATATAAACAAGAAACAACAGTGGCCCAAGAATAGATCCTTGCGGCACACCAGCGTTTATATAACTAAAAGATGATTTACAACCAGGGAGAACGACTCTCTGTCTTCTGTTCTTGAGATAAGAAGAAAACCAAGAAGAAAGACGACCAGATATGCCGACCGAATTTAATTTGAAAATAAGTCCTTTGTGCCAGACTCGATCAAACGCTTTACTTATATCACAAAAGACAGTTCGTACTTCTTTACCAGAATCAATGGCCTGTGCAAAAGTATTATATAAATATGTTAATTGGTTGACAGTGGAGACTCCGGGAACAAAACCAGATTGAAGAGATGTGATAATGTTGTTAGATCTCAGAAAATTAAACGTGTGTTTAAATATAATTCTTTCAAAGACTTTGTTGACTGTACTAATTAGGGATATGGGTCTGTAATTATTAACTAAAGAAGGGTCACCCGATTTAAAGAGAGGAGAAACATTAGCTTCCTTCCATGCATCTGGAACTTGAGCAATCTGAATAGAATAGTTAAAAAGAGCACTTAAAGGACCACTGAGTTCATGGGAGAGTTCGCGAAGGATTCGATTGTTGATATTGTCAGGACCAGCGGCTTTTCCCAAAGGAAGAGATTTTAGTACCAATTCCACTTCGCCGGTGTTATACTTATATCATCCAGATGGTTAGTAACGTTAGGTAAATCGGGGAGACGGGGAGCTTCACTTTCATCAATGCGTGTCTGTGTGACAAAAAAGTCGTTCATAAAATTGGCCTTTTCAATGTTGTCAGATATGATAATGTTGTCATCAGAGGTAAGTGGTGGTATTGAGGTAGAATAGGAAGGTTTGATAAATGATTTAAGAAGAGACCACCAACTTTTTGAATTTTGATTTTCCTGCTGTAATTTTTGGGCTAAATTGTCGATATGCTGTTTCTTTGCTACGCGAATTTTTGATATTATGTGATTTCTCAGGGTTCGAAACCGGGCCCAGTAATAAGGTGAATCAGTTTGTTTTGCTTTACGATACAGTCTTTTTCGTTTTCTAATAAGTAATCTTAAGTCGTTTCTAAACCAAGGAGGCTCGTTTTCTCGGATCAATACTTTTCTATTTGGGATACATTGCTTCGAGATATTGATTATGTTGCTGGTTATGTTATTAGTATATTCGTTTATATCTTCATTCTTCAGTGAATCCCAATCACTTACAGAGGCCAAGTGTCTTAAGAAATCGTAATTACCCTTATCAAATATCCAAACATTTCGATAAAAAGAAAGTCGCTTAGGTTTTTTCAAATTTAGTAAACAGTATATAGGACAGTGATACCTGACATCCTGCTGGAGAAAAGGATCGCCAACTCCGCTAGTATGAATGAGATAGTTGTTAGAAGTAAATATAAGGTCAATTATTGACGAAGAAGATTCCGTAAAGTGTGTAGGTGAGTCAATAATCTGATGCAATGACAACTGGCAACATATATCTCTAATTTTCTTAGAAGAAGTACTATTTAGGTTAAAGTCACCCATCATTAAGATATTATCTATACCTGTATCAATAGCCAGATGCATAGAGTCTAAAATCAAGGCATGATGGGCATTGTCTATGTTTGGGGGTCTATAGAAAACTCCGAATAAAATATGTTTGTTTGAAAAGACAATTTATATCCAAATGCATTCAGTTCCGTTAATTTCAAGATCATCGCGTCTTTTGTAGTGGATATAGTCCTTAACATAAAGTATAACACCGCCGTGGTTATCGGCACGATCTTTCCTTTCGGGATTAGCAAAAGAGTGGAGAAAGAGATCAGAAGTTAAAATATGTGGGCCAAGCCAAGTTTCTGAAAAGCAGAGAATATCAAAATCCTTAAGCTCGGAGTAAATAATATCAAGTTTTAGGGCAATGCTCTGGACGTTGTAATGAACAAAAGAAAGGTTTCGGGAAAGATCAATAAAGTCATTATCAGAGGAAGCCGAT